CTGGACACTGACACTACGCTACACTGGACCCCATTTACCACCGGAGAGGTGGCCCTGGAGCTGCGTCGACTAGTCGACTAGTCATGGCGGTCTTTCATTAGGAACGACCCAGAAAGCTAGAGATTTAGGAATCACAGTGACAGCAGACTACAAATGGGCAGAACAGTGTGTCGCAGCGACTCACCCTGCCCGTCTAGAGCTTTTTAGATTGAGGTCGGCACTAACATGTAGGAAACCGGAGGTATTCTTACCTCTATATAACGTCATTGTTTGACCGCATTTGGAGTATGGTATACAAGCATGGGCACCCTTCTTCAAAAAGGACGCCGCCTGTCTCGATGGGGTCCAACGGTTAGCCACGAGGATGATCGAAGGACAGCGAGGGAAGTCGTATAAGCAGAGACTGGAGGACCTTGGGCTCTTCTCTTTGGAGAGAAGATGACTCAGAGGTGACTTGATAGAGACATTCAAAATTATGAATGGCCTATTAGGGACGGATCAAGCAGTGTTCTTCGAGAGGAGAGAAAGCAATACTAGGGGGCACATACGCAAGCTGAAGAAAGTACGCAAGAGACTAGCGGTGCGTTCAAACTTCTTCAGCAACAGGGTAGTCAACTCATGAAATAAGTTGCCGCAGGAGTTGGTGGAGCTGGGGAAAGTACATGTTTTCAAGTAGGAGCTTGACAGACGCTGGTCGAACTTATTTCCTGAAGTAGATGCATAGTTTAAGGTTTGGTAGAAGTTATAGGTTTTCTCATTTACTAACAACCCCAAACAGGGGAGCGTCTCCAAATGTGAGGTCTCTCGCCTGAACAAGGGGAGAAGATACTTTTTCCTTTCCCTTCCCTTGCAGAGGCGGAGATGATTGGTACGAGTAGGAAACGCGCATAACTACAATAAAGAACACTCGCAGTGGTGGGGGCCATTACGTGGCTTACTACCGAAGGAACTCTGGAAGCTCGATTGGCCGTGGCCATCTCTAGTCCTGTGCAAACTGACTGACTGACTAAAGGTTCACCAACCACCTGGACCTGATGGTGTGCGTCCGCTGATCCTGAAGGAGCTGGCAGATGAACTTGCAGCGCCACTGTGTAACCTGTTCAATTTGTCATTCACTCAAGGGCGTTCACCGCGGCAGTGGAAGGACGCTGTCATTGTTCCACTGCCCAAAGTTGGAGATAGGAGTGACCCTGGGAACNCCTGGGAACTACCGACCAGTCAGCCTTACTAGCGTTATGGGTAAAGTAATGGAGCGACTGGTGGCTGCACGGCGTTGGCAGCATTTGGTGTGCCACGGTCACCTGTGTCACCAACAAGGTTTCCGCCCGGGTCACTCATGCGTCTCAAACCTGCTGCTTGCACTTGAATGCTGGACCGAGGACAAGGCCAAAGGACACGAAACGGATATCATCTTCGTGGAGTTCAGCAAGGCCTTCGATAAGATGCCGCATGACCTTCTTCTGCGAAAGCTGTCCAACCTAGGTGTACGTGTGGTCATGTGGAATTGGCTGCGAGACTTCCTCATCGATCGGAAATTCTGCGTCCGTCTTGGCAAACCGCTCTCTGCGTGGTATTCCGCCCCCAATGGGGTCCCCCGAGGCTCGGTTCTTGGTCCATTGCTCTTTGTGATATATGTGAACGACCTGCCCGGTCAACTGTGCAGCCCATCCCCCATGTATGTGGATGACATCAAAATCTGGCGTACAATCAAGGATCCGAATGATCGAAGTTCTCTTCAAACGGATTTGAACAACCTGGATCAGTGGACGGATACCTGGGCTCTTCCAGTCGACACAGCAAAGTGTGATGACCTTGGTGCGTGCTGACTCAAAGGTAGTCTACAACTTCTATGGAACCACATTGCGCAGAACATCTTGCGAACGAGACCTGGGTTTTGTAGTTACGTCATCATTAAAGACCCGAGAAAACACCGATCGGGTCTGTGCTAGCGCATGGAGCATTCTGGGGCCTATTTGACGGTCTTTCAATCAGCTCACTATGGACGCTTTCAGGTTGCTGTACGCTTCCCATGTCAGACCAAGACTGTAGTATGGTGATGCGGCGACATACCCCTGCACGGCCGGTGAACTGGCTAAATTGGAGCGTGTACAACGTGCTGCCACTAGACTCGTTGTTGGACTACGCGGGACCAGTTTTGAAGGTCATCTACAGGCTACTGGTCTGTTCCCAATTGCGTATCGACGCTT